ATCAAATTTTTTGTTCGGTCAACAAATAAAACATGAAAAATCATATTCAAATTGGTGATCGGTTAAATTTGCAATAAATTTATAAACTTAATAACTTAATTGAGAAAAAAAAATACATTGTTAAAATCAAAATTTTATATAAATTCAATGTCTTTTATATTTTGTCCTATTATTTTTACATATTGTTTTGAATAAACTTTTAAAAAATAGACTATATTGCAATAATTATTTTCTAATTAAACTTTTTAGAAAAATGTATTTTAGGTTTTAAATGGATATATAATAATAATAAAGTAATTTTTGTTTTCTTTTATGCATCTAAAAATCTTGCAACTAATTTTAAACATTTATTACACTTTGATAGTTCCTTTGGTAACGTCAAAACTGGTATACTAAATAAAGAATAACAAACGTCTATACTTATCAATTGAATTGTTTCAGTGCGCACATTACATTGTCAAGAAATAAATACGGTTGTTGGTATATTAATTATATAAATTACTTTGTATTATTTTTCTTAGTTAAACTTTATAATTTTTTTTTTATTGAAATGGAAAACTTGGTTTTATCATCTCAAAAATACATATTCATACTACTAAAGCTATGTAAAGAATGCATGATTTAACAATTTATAATATGATTAGTGCTGGAATGTATATGTGCTCATAACATGCTAATATTAATGTCACCGTCAACTGAAGCTTTTAGAGTCCCATAGCTCGGGCGTATAATGTACAATATGTTTATTCCAAGACCAATATGAAACCCTATATCTTATAAGTGTTATGAGGAAGCATTTAGTGATGACCACAAGGCAGAGCGAATATAAGAGAACTAAAGGAAACTAATATGTTATGTGGTGCGATTTGTGTCCTTTTGAAAGGCAGACAAGTGCGATCCATAGAAGACAATTGGTCAGGCCCACCCACTAAACTCTAGTGCTCTATATATAAAGGATAACGTCTGTATCATTCGGTGTCTCACTGACTTTTGATGATTTACATATTACACTCTTATGGTTCACAGAGAACTTGAATCCAACAATCATCACTGGTTTATTGGTTTCTACCGACTCGTTGGTTCGTTGGTTTAGGTTAAACACTTGCATGACTATTCGTCTTCATGATTCAAACTCTGCTATAAACCTTAGATTATCTAATGTTTCTCTTTCTAGCCTGACGTCGACCAACGATAGGCCAACAACTTATAAGGCTTGTCAAATACGTGTAGTCCAATCATCGCCCTAAGATGATCTTCCATTTCCTCGATACGTACAACACTAGTCCAACTACAAATGCTCTGGGATAACTAAGCTTGTGGATTACGAGCAACTTGAGGCGTTGGGAATGCAACCAACCTCAATCCTTCTTGGCCATTCAAACCACATCCTGCACCTCTTAGACTGTTGTTCCTTTGAGTTGAAAACATTTTCCTTTACGTCGAGAGATTTTACCGATCACATGATCCACGAGATATATGAGAGGATGTTCTGATATCGAGAAGAGTAAGAGTCTTAAAGTCATATAACAAATAACATATAACTCTTAGCACACACCCTCCCCCCTTAAGAGTCTAAAGCACTTAGTTGAGAGAGTCTACATTATGAGTCTGAATACTTGCCTCTGTAATTAGTCCACTCACAACATGACTCTGATACCAACTTGTAACGTTGTGATTTTTCACCTAATTTTTTTAATTTAAAATCATCATTTAACAATAAAGAAACGAGAGTCTTAATTAGTTTATTTGAAAACATCACCAATGTTACTTAAAAATCTTTCAAAAACAACCCTATTAAAGTTAAACTTTATAAAGCCGACACCAAAACAAGTTTTCAAAACCAAATGTAAATGAAATCTCAACGACTAGTCCAAGTTGTATCATCACTAAAGTAATACTAAGAGTAACTACCTAAAAGTCCCCATCATCACCAATCCATCAAATCAAGCTACCTGTACGAATGTAATGCGAAAGCAACAAGCAAAAAAACAAGTGTCAACATCAACACATTGAGTCAATCTCAAGTACAAAAGGTATGGAAACAAACATACTTCATACGATACAATCAGTCACATGTTTATATTGGGATTTTTAGGTTACAATCAATTTGTACATGTATAATTTCACTTAACTCTTAAGGGTACATGCAACCTAAATTGGATCTATGTCTTTTTCTCAATTAATAGCAACATACTTATGAAACAAAAAATATAAACCATATGAAATCAAATTCATGAATAAAACCACATACCTCTTGCATGATTCAAAACAAGGTAACCAAAAGCCTTGTAGTCTCCTTGAAAAGCTAGCTCCAAAACTATGGCTGTCTCTAATGTGTCACACCCAAAACTCAGAAAACTCTAGGATTGAAGGAGAGAGAGAGAGGAGAGAGATGAGATAAAATATGGGTTTCTCTTTGTGGTTGCTTAGGCCAAAAATACCAAAGGTTACATCCCTTTATATCGCTGTTTGATAAACACATAAACCCTAGATTTGAACTTAAAATAATAATATTTCAAACCAGTAATTATCTAGTTTATTTTTATTAGTTGGAGGCTTTCACTCCATTAAGAGCCTCCAAAATCGTCCCATCTAGGAGGATTCTAGATCATCTCTTTTGTTCAACTATTGAACAATTGCAGCTCAACCCTTGTACATTTAATTAATTCTAATTACCCCATATTTAATTCTTCATTAACTATTACTATTTCTAATTAATATATCAATCATATAATATATTAATAAATCATGTATTTCTCTCCTTTGATCAATCCAAACTATTTTTTGGTTATGAGGGAAACCTAAAAATGACTTTACTTTTATTCATCAATATCGTACCAATTTAGTTAGAACATTCGAAACTTAAATCCAATAGTCTCCCACTTAAATAAGTCACTAACTATAACTGCAAGTACAACTCCGAATAACCAGTAAAGAGTGTTCTTCACGGACACTACCAAACTCTGACTAGATGTTGGTCCTAAGATAAGTGATCAACTATCCCTTCGTTATTCCTGATATCATATGGATACGAGACATGGATTAGAATCAATCTCATTGTCCAAGATTCTGTTTACCAATTTGTGACGACATCATCATACTACTAAATGAACACATCAATTCAATCCCGGTTGTGACCAGCACTATAAAGTCATCATCAAATCACAAAGGAACCCGAAGATATCGCTTTTTCTGTTAAGGCAAAAGGAATGAATAAACCTTCACTATATAATCATACCTTCTACACGAAAATGATATCGATGTGGTTAATGTGGCCATGGATCAATATGAAAACAACAACCCACAAACTTTTCCACATCTCAAAGCTTGGCTAAAGTTGAAGGATTCTCCAAAATGGAAAGAGTGGTTTATTATGTTTGAAATTTTTATGTTTTCTTGCATTTTATTTTAAATTGTTGTTTTCTTTTAAATTAATGTAACCTCTCTTTTTTATTGAATGAAAAATATTTTTTTTGAATCTATGTTTTCTTGTATTTATTATTTAAATTTAAATTAAAAAATGATGTGGAGTAGTATTTTAGTGATAGGTATCCCATGAGTTTAGTGGTTAGATTTGGTGATGAGGTGACACCCATCACATTAATGGTGAGTGTTGGGTATACAACATTACAACATGACCTTAAAAAAAGTGGTCAGTGTTATAGTATTTTCGTAAAGGAATTTTCTAATAGGTGCTCTAAACATATATAAGAAACATCAATTATGAGAAATATTACCATAATTAAATGTGAAATACATTAATTATAGAGAATATTCTTCTTATTTAATGCATTATACTTTTTTAATGACAAGCCTAATCTATTCCTAAACTGTTGTTTAATTCTATATATGACCACGTCGGGACTTGAACCCTCGACCTCAAGGAGGGAGAGAAACACCCGATACCGTTGGGCTAGAAACCCTTTAGTATTTAAAATCTCGGCTATAATCTACAATGTTTAATTTTTAGGGAATTTTAGGCTTAATTTAATGCATTATACATTTTTCAATAATAAATATTCCCTATAATTAATGCATTTTACATGTAATTATGGTAATATTTTTATCATAATTAATACCAAAAGGCCTTTAGCCTAGCGGTATCAAGGTGTTGAAGAGGTTGTTCTTCCTCTAAGGGGTTGAGAGTTCAGGTCTCGTCGTGGAAAAAAGATGTAGTTTAAGAGTAGGATTTAGAGGGTGTGTGTGTTAGCCGTTCAAAAAAATCTCATACTTAATTCTTCTTATGTGTGCCTTAGGAGACATATTAGAAAATCTCTTTCATAAATGACTCATATTCAAATTTGTAGATTCCGCAAGTGTTGACTTTTCATTAAGTAATTTGTTTCTTACCTATAACCATTGATTTTGTAATCACGGTTAATGAGGTATATACCAAATTACCGAAGTATGTACCTCTGGAACATAAATACCGAGGCTCCGAGGCATAAACCTCCGGACCATCGATATCAATCATATCGCTAGGTAAGACGAGCTAAGGGGTGGAGTCGTGAGTGGATACACAAGGTCGGACGAAGGATTAAGCGTCAAGACCAAGTAACGGGAAAGCACAACTAATAGTCTCGACAAAGTACAAGTCATACAATACTTTAACATCATTATAGTTCATCGATAACAAATTGATATGACTAATGACCTCTCCTTAGTACTGTTTTTGTACCTTCGATAGCGAGAGCATTAATTGTGATTAGACCTTTGTCTGCACTGTATACCCCAGATCGCCGAATCCCAAGGAAAGTCGATATAAAAAGGGAACCCCGGAAAGTCGAAAAAAGGTACGCAAATATCAGTACAACATACACTTTTAACGTTTCTATTCTCCCTCTCTCATTTGCTGACTTTATCATCTGAGCGCTCTCCCGAGAAATTTCTTGGTGAACGGCTCACTTGCGTGTTGTAATTTCAGGATCAGGACCTCAAACACTTACGTCTTTTTGGAATTGTGAGGGCCGAATTCTGATACGCATCACCTTGCACCATCTATGGGACCCATGCAACGAAAGGTCACCACCGTCAATCCTACCAATAACATGGACGCCAATCCAGTTGCGAGAATGCAACCGTTGGAAGCGTAAGGTGAAACACCTCAAATACCCACAGTAGCAATAGAAACGAACACTCCCCCCATGGAGTTAGAGTGCACGATGAGAAGGAGATAAGGGACTTTGAAGATTTCCAAAGATTTAAGGCCATGGAAAAGTTACTAAGCGATAAAGAAAAAAGAGGAACACGTGAAAAGGACAATGACGATCGGGTATCAGTGCATACATGGCGTTCGAGCACAACAACTGGGAAGGAAACAGAGGGAGAACGCAAACAACCACAAATTCAGGAAGGTTGGAGGCCGAGGGACTCACAGGAAGTTGTCAACCAGAAAGAATATGATGGAACCCTGAGGAAGATAAACTTCAGAAACCCTTTCACTAACCATATAAACGACACGCCCATCCCTATAGGTTAGAAAGGACCTAGGGTGAATCCTTATGAAGGCACGGGAGACCCGGACGATCATGTATCTAACTTTCAGTGGGTAATTAAGATGATTCCTTTGAACCCAAAGTTATGATGTTTGTACTTCTCTGGAACCCTCGACGAATCAGCCTGTTACTAGTTGGCAAGCCTCCCACCGAGAAGTATTAGTAGCTTCGAGGAGTTATGCCAAAAGTTTTGCAATAGCTTCATAAAACAACGGATGTTTCAGCAACAAGCCCATTGTAACATTCCAAAATCACGATAACTTTTTTTTTTAAAAAAATTAAGAGAAATCATTGTTTTCAAACAAACCCCATATCAAGACCAAGTATCAAATATAAATATCCCAAGATCAGTGTATCATAAAATCTCCGAAAACATGTCAATGAAGGATGGTGTACAATCACGCCTTCACCTTTCCACGATCATCTGAAGTACCTGAAACATAAAACTGAAATCATAAGCCAAAGCTTAGTGAGTTTCCCCAAAGTACCACCACACAAACATATAACAACATGCATACTGGGTCCACAGCTAACATACTGGATTACCCATGAGCCCACAACATGAGTCTGGCTTGCCTTCCAGCCCATAGCTCATGTTTGGCTTACTCCCGAGCCTTCAACATAAGTATGGCTTGCCTTTCAGGCCCATAACTTTATGTCTTGCTTGCTCCCAAGTTTGTTTGCTTCCACACAAAGCAACATTGCCTCAACCCAACCATACTATGTCAACATATACATAACAGATAACATATATCCGACAAACAGATAATCATATAACCAGTCAACAGATACACAGGCAGATCTACAGATCACTACCACATAATAACTTCCTATATACCAGGACACAGATATAAAAGATCAATACAACACATCAACATACTCTATACTAGGATACATAACCCAATGGTCTGATATTGGTGCCTTTGACCCACAAGTACAGTGAGAAAAACCCACCTCTCACTCTGAAAAGATAGTTGAACACATCATAACTTCGTATACCAACTCTACAGGTCACCTGTACAACAAACAATTGTTGGATAAGGTGTCTAAGTCCATAACTATTTCTGGTATGTACTTGACCCGACCCAGCATGGTCCATTTGGGTTGCATGACATCATGCATTTGGATAGACTTAATGAGAGAAATAACACTTGTGGTTTATTAATATTATAAGTTCATATATATTAATAGTATTATTTAATTAGTATTGATCAAGAATTAATTTGGAATTAATTAAATGATCAAAAGATGACTAATTAAATATATGGGTTGATTATGTAAATCATCCATAACTTGTAGAGTGGGCTAAAAGGCTCCATGGATTATCAAGTTGGGTTAAACCCATTGGATGCTCCATGGGAGTTACAAACCCATGGGTCATGGAAATGAAGAGTCATGTCACATTCGAGTTTACATGGTGTAACCCTAGATGTGACACACTATATAAGGAACATGATACTCACCAAAATCGGTTACACTAAGAACAAGAGAGGGCAAGCCGATTTTTACAAGTGTTATACATTCTCTAAAGTTATTCCAAAGCATTTGGTGTTGTGTGAAACATTTGAGGCATCACACTTGGGGTGCTAGGCTCTCAAGGTTTCAAGGAATCATAACAACTACAAGGTATGTAATTCTAGCCATCTTTTATGTTTAAAGTTCCCCATGTATGCTAGATAGGTTTATGAACCTTGGAAAAAGTATTTTGCATGTATTTAGACAAACATAGATCCAAGTTTTCTAGGGTTGCATGTACACTTAGGAGTGTTTAGAATGCTCAAAACCTTCAGTGGTATCAGAGCCTAGGCTTGTTTGTTGATACTTGATGCAAAATAGTGAAGAAAAGTCGATTTTCTTGCTGTCTGCATGATGAACTCGCCGAGTCCATGGGGGGACTCGCCGAGTCCATGACTAAACTCATCCTACTCGTCGAGTCGAGAGGTTCGTGCACTCGACGAGTAGGAGCCTCAGAATGCAGATTTTCGACTTTTGCTGCTGGAAATGGACTAGAAACATTACCCTAAACTGTTTTGGTGTTATTAAACTTGTTTTAGATGGTGTAATGATTGTTCTAATCCATTTACAATGGCTAATATCAAAATTACATGATTATATGTGTTCATATGTTCTTGAAATGTTGATATGATTATTCATGTTCATGAGTTCTTGATAGATCATAGGAATTACTTGATTAATGTGTGAATTCATGATCTTTATGTGTTTAATGGAGTCCATAACTTGTTCTCAAGTTATGGATAACCAAAAGTCTCTTTGTATTAAAGCCATTAAAAGAACACATAAGTTACAAAATGAAGAGTCTTCATTTTAATAACTCGAAGTTATGAATTGAAAGGTTTTGTAAAGTTACAAAACTTTCCCTCAAGTTTGGAACATGTAAAGCCATTTAATAAAACTTATCCAACCCCTAGAATTTAAAGGTTAAAATTCCAACCCTTATACTTTATAATATTATAGTTTAAGTAATATATAATATATAAGATATAGATATATATATAGATAGATATAATATAAGATATTATCTATATCTATATATAGATAGATATATATAATATATATTATATTATATATAATATATATATATATATATATATATATAAGACCAAGTCGTTTTACCGTTAGTATGCCTCATTCACGAAGCCGGTCTACAAGGGGGTATAAGGTTTTGCCTATAAAATGGCAGCTTAATGGGTGTCCACTCTCACCCCACCGCTTCCTTGACTGGTGGAGGGTCGTTAGCCGAACGGGTAGGACAATGACTTAAAATTCTCATTAAAAGTATAATGATTATTATAAAGTAACTAAATGTTTTTATAAATTCTCAATCTTAGTTACTTTAGGAAAATGTGAATAAGGTGCTAACCCATGAAATTACACTTTGCACTTTGATTAAGTCGTTAGTGGAGCGTGTGTGGTTAACCGGCACACTAACTTGGACTTAACAAGGTAGGCAAAGGGTAACTTAAGGTTTTCATAGGTCGGTGGAGCGTGTGTGGTTAACCGGCACATCGATTAAGTGAAAAACATTAAGGGTACCAAGTAATTTGCATGGTTACTTCACACCTTGTTTTGTGATCCTCGGTATCCCAGTCACAAACATGAAGGGCACACTCGAGATTGAAACATGTCATTGAAAAAAGTTCAATGAATCTCAAAAGAATCTAGGAGTTTCTAAAAACCAAATAAAACCTAATAATTTATATTTCGTTTTCATGGTGGAATTTGGTGAATCGTCATTCACCTACCTTTCAAATATGTTTTAGCTTAGATTACGGCATCCCTCTTCTAAGTTATAATATATTGTGATTGGATCCTAGCCTTAATATTACATTTGGGTGTTTTATTAAGGACTATCTTTATATCTAAACTAAACTTGTCTTTTTCTTCTTTTCAGATGTCTTCCAACAATGCTGCTCATGGCTCAAACCCTACCGACTCCTTCTCTCTCATGAACCTTTGTGGGAGAGTCATCTTTGATGGATCCAACTTTACAGATGGATCAGAACATCAGGATGGTCACTCGGTATGAGAACAAAGAATATGTTCTCGACAAGGAGCTTAAGGTACCTGAGCCAACTGCTACTCCTGAGGAGTTTGCTGAATATGAGGCACATGAAAGAGATGCTACCAAAGTGGCATGCATCATGATGGCCACTATGACAGTCGAGCTCCAAAAGTCCTATGAGGACTACTATCCTTTTGAGATGCACCAGGATTTGATGGAACGCTACCATCAGAGTGCTCATCAAGAGCGATATGAAATCATCTCCTCCATGATAACAACCCGAATGAAAGATGGTGAACCCATCACGGGCCACATGCAGAAAATGCAGATGTATGTGGACCGTTTGATGAAGCTGAATGTGAACTTCCCAGAGGAGTTAGCAATAGATATCATTTTGCACTCCTTACCATCGTGTTATGATCAATTCTGCATGACATACCACATGAACAAGGAAGAAGTCACCCTCAGCAAACTTCAGGGGACTCCTAAATACCGCAGAATCAGGTCTTAAAGGTAAGTCGGTTGTTACCACTCCTACTCCTACTCCAAACTCCGCACCTGTCCTGGCAATCGGGAAAGGTAGAGGGAAGAAGAGGAAGAACCCTTCGAAGGGTACCAAGGGTAAGACTCTTGATGGCTCCTCTTCAAGTGGAACCAAGAAAGGTTTCGTCACTCCTTTTTCTGATCCAAAAGAGGTTGAATGCTTCTATTGCCATGAAAAGGCACACTGGAAGCGGAACTGCCCGAAGTACCAGCAAGATTTGAAGGATGGGAAAGTGAAACCCAACCATGCAAGTATTTACACTATATTATCTAATAACTCACCTTATTATAACTCTTGGGTCCTTGATACCGATTGTGGTATTCATATTTGTTCTGATTTGCAGGGACTAAGAAGAAGTGAGAATGTGGAGCATGGAAAGATAAACTTGATCATGGGGAATAGGAAAGTTTCACCTGTCACCAAGATTGGAGTTTATACTTTGTTGCTAAGTAGTGGGTTTACTTCAGATTTGAATAAATGTTGTTATTCGCCTGAAATGGCGGAGAAATGTTATTTCCTTTCATGCTTTGTACAAACAAGGTTTTACCTTTTCTTTTGATAATGAAGTTGGTGGAATAAATGCTTTCTTTAATAATGTGTTTTATTTTAAAGCATTACCTTGTGATGGTGTGTATGAAGTTGTGTCTGTTGTAGATAATTTAGGAAATAATGTGTTGTGTATTGATTCTACTAATGATAATAACTTGGATAAAGCATCATTATGGCATTGTCGTCTTGGACATGTAAGCAAGAAACGCATAGGCCAACTCCAAAAGGATGGAGTCTTGGAGTCATTTGACCTAAAGTCAGATGATAGTTGTGAATCATGTTTACTTGGAAAAATGACAAAGTCACCCTTCACAGGTTATTGTGCTAGGGGTGAAGGTTTGTTGGATCTAGTGCACACGGATGTGTGT